AAAAAAAAAAAAAAAAAAAAACAAACCTAAAACTAGAGCTAATCTAACTGCTGTATCATCTGGGTCCCAACAGGTATGAGGATGAAATCAATAAGCGCACAGCTGCTGAGAATGATTTTGTGACACTTAAAAAGGTGAGCAAGAGAATGTCACAGCTGGGGATAGTAATAGGGGTGTTTCATAACCCCATAGTGTCCAAACAGACAGGCTGGAAAACAACTATGAGTGCAAACAGCAGTAGTCAGAGAAAGGGGTGGGATGTGGCTGTGGCCAGTGTCCTTGGAAACAAAGTGTCTCCATTGTTCAAACTTCTGGAAACAATTTTCAAAGGTGTCCTGCGTACTGGGTAGAATGCTTCCCATTGATAACCCACTTAAAGCCTGTAATGGATCATGAAAAATGCAAACACAAAAAGCACTTTATTCTTTTTCTAAAAAGCTGAGGAAGGAATGAGACTTTCCTTAGAATGCCTGCTTAAAGTTACTGTCAGTTGTGCTGACAAAGCTTTGAGCTAGAAGGCATGTGTGGATTCTCAGCCTGCTTCCTGCAGGGGCTTTGGTGTGTAATCCAGAGAAATTCAGAGAGTTGAGATGGACAGACAAAATGGGAGAGTTGAGGACTGTAGCAACCCACAGAGGCTATTGTATCCCACCATGGGAATGCACAATGTCTTCAGCAGGAGGGAGAGAATGGTTGGCAAAGCTTGGTCCCATCTGGGCTCTGATGGTCTTGGAGGTGTGAGCGTGAATGTGGGTGTGGAGCCCCTGGAAGAGGTGCATGATGGACTGCATGCCAAATGAGGTCCATGGGGACGTGGCTCACCTGGAGGTGCCTGGGATGTTGGAGAGCAGCTGACAGGGACTGGGTGGAGGAAAGTGGCAGAGAAAGGGTGGGGCCCATACAGGGAATCATGCAAGGTGGGAGGGAGTACGTTTCATCAGAGGCCTCTGACCTTTCCTGCAGGATGTGGACAATGCCTACATGATCAAGGTGGAACTGCAGGCCAGGATGGATGTGCAGAACCAGGAGCTTGAGTTCCTAAGAGTCCTCTTTGATGCAGTAAGGAGGCTGCTCATGGACAGACCCTTACTTCCCACCCTTCCCAACAGAGAAATGTCCTTCCTAATTGGTGAAAAGGAGTAGGAATAGGGTTTATGGACTGGCTGACTCCAACTTGCCATCATTCCAGGACACTAGGAAGCTTCTATAGCACAGGCTTTGGGAGAGAGGAATTTTCTCCTCTGATGTCATAGGAAGTAAGGTCCAGGAAATGCCAGGACAACTTTTCCTTCCTCCATCCTCCAGATGTCCAGCTCCCCTTAGGAAGAGACCTGTCCTGTGCCCTTTCCTATGCCCAACATACTTCAGAGATCAAAATGCATTACATCTACCCCTTTGCCCCTGTCCAAGTGCATACACATGATTTCTGAAACAGGAAGTAAGATTTAAGGTATTTGCCATGGACCGGCTTCTTTCTGTGGGCATTTATTATAACTACATAAGTGGTGAGGACTGTCAACTAGGAGGCTCAGAAATACAGACACCCCTCCCCACAATTCTCAGAACAACCTTGGGAGTAGCCTAGGAGTAGCGGTTAAATCATTTTCAACCCCACCCAGTGTAGGCTTAGTCTGAGAGTCTGCATTTGCCTAACACCAGGCAGAGGAGGCCTCCTCACTGCCTGTGGCTGTGGGTAGGGAAGTCATGGCCAGACCTCCCTGTGTGTTGCAGGAACTGTCCCAGGTGCAACAGACTGTCACTGACACTAACGTCATCCTGTCCATGGACAACAACCGCAACCTCGACCTGGACAGCATCATTGCTGACGTTCAGGCCCAGTACGAGGAGATCGCCCAGAAGAGCAAGGCCGAGGCTGATGCACTGTACCAAAGCAAGGCAAGTACTGGGAATGCGGGAGAGCCACAGTACAATGAGCCAGGGTTCACCCCCAGCTGCCCAGAAGAGCAAGGCCGAGGCTGATGCACTGTACCAAAGCAAGGCAAGTACTGGGAATGCCGGAGAGCCACAGTACAATGAGCCAGGGTTCACCCCCAGCCAGGAAGTGTCCAGTAAGATGATTGGTGTTTTTGTCTAATGGAAATTGGGCATCATTTCCAGTATGAATGTTGAGAGTGGCACCAGGTCCTTTTGGGGATACGAGACGATCCCCCACCTCCCATGAGTGCAGCCATGGCATTCAGCTTGGATAACCCTCCCTGGACCCTTAACCAGCCTTTGCTTGACTCAACTCAGGCTTTCCCCAGGCTGAAGCCCTCCTGTGACTGTCCCCCTCTCCCCATATCAGTATGAGGAGCTCCAGGTTACTGCTGGGAAACACGGAGACAGCCTGAGAGAGCTCAAGATGGAGATCAGCGAGCTGAACCGCGTGATCCAGAGGCTGCAAGGGGAGATTGGCCACGTGAAGAAGCAGGTGAGGCATGGCCCCACTATCCATCCAGCTTTACTGTTTGGGTGGGGCTCAGAGTGGGGTGGAAGATTATATCTCAGTGTGTGAGTGTGTGGTTGTTTGTGAGAGACAGAGAAGAAACTGCAAAGTTCTCATCTAACATACATCGATCCTCAGTTCCTCCAATTTAACATAATTTAGGGCTTATAACAATTTTGAGAGTGGCCTAAGAAGCATTCCAAAGTAAAGATTAATGAAGGGAAAGGATTGTGTTCACTTTTTGATTGTTTATGTGAGTGAAAGGGAGCAGCAATAAATAAAGCAGTAGTTTGACATGCTGTGGATTGAAGACATAGTTTCCTGTTGTATTTGGTGCAGGCCCTAAGCACCAGCCAACTGGGTTAATGGAGGTGCAGTGTGTGTTGAAGGGAGCTTGCCTGGGGTTGGACATGAGCTTTGGGATAATGTGGGGGCAGAGAGTGGGCTCCGCAAACAGCAGCAGTTCTGGAAAGCAGTCCACATCTAAAATTTTCATTTATAAAGTGGAATAATGATTCTGACCCTGTGTTGTGAGGATCAAGGGGTGTTATGGGAAAAGCCTAAGGATCCAGGAAAAGGTGATGTGGGAAGAAGATGTCTCAGAGACAGCAGCGAGTCCTAGCAGTTATTTGCAACTTGCATTAACTCCAGGGGAACACAACACTTCCTAGGCCAGTGAATCTGGCTTCCCATACCCTGAGCACTTCTGTTCCCTGTCCCCCTCTGCCAGGCAGACTCCACTCTTTTCAAACAGAAAGTTTCCCTCCTTCTGTCATAGTGTAAGAGCGTGCAAGACGCCATTGCTGACGCTGAGCAGAGGGGAGAGCATGCCATTAAGGATGCCAAGAACAAGCTCGTAGACCTGGAGGATGCTCTGAATCAGGCCCGGGAGAACCTGGCCCGGCTGCTGCGTGACTACCAGGAGCTGATGAACACCAAGCTGGCCCTGGACGTGGAGATCGCCACCTACAGAAAGCTGCTGGAGGGCGAGGAGTACAGGTGAGGGGCACTGGGAGGGGAGAAGGGAACCCCTGGCCATCCTCTCCATTCTCCTTAGAAGCGGGACAGAAACAAAGGCAGAGAAAGCAGAGGATGGGGCAGGGCATTTGAAGGCTGAGAGCTGGCATTCGCTGTGCTCCAGGCAGAATTTCAGGACAAGAAGCATTTCTGAGTTGTGCATTATCAATATGGAATGGCTAACGAGGCATAGTAAATTAAATTAAATTAAACAATAAGTTAAACATCCTGGTCTCTTCTGAAAAAGAAAACAAAATGATGTGAAAACAGGTTAGTCCTAGACAGTCTGCAAAGTTGAGTGGCCTCTTTTGCCTCCACTGTGTGATCAAGAAGAAGTGATATTATGTGTTGGAATGTGCCAACTGGCTGTGACATGCTCACCCTAGCAGGTGCCAGACCTAATTCTCTGCAGGTTTCTGTAGTGACAAACAGAACCATTTCCTAACCTTCAAGGAGCACCCTTTGCTTGCTCTGTAGTCCAAGACCTTTGTCAGTGTTATGGCATCAATGGTGACTTACTCTGGTTGAAGCAGCTGGAAGGGGAAAAGCTACCCCAGGCCATCAGCAAGCCAGTATGACAACAAGGGAGTGGCTTTCTTCAGGCTGTTGCCCTGTATCTGTCTGAGAAGCAATGCCTCCTCTCTCCAGCTCATAACAGGAGGTGGGAAAGATTTCAGTTGGAGAAGAGGAGGGTGGGGAAGGGGGGAGGAGTATGGGAGGCTGTACAGAGCTGTAGTTCTTTCTGAATTGAATAGTCACAGTGCAGCCTTATTTTAAACTCTGGCCTGGCATGATTTCTGAATAACAGAATCACTAAAATGGATTTAAATGCAAAAATGGGTTGCAAAGTCAGAAGCAAATTAGCTTTTCAGTCACTTTGGATCAACGATGCAACTGTTCATTTTTATGAGAGCAAAAAATCAGGATGGATGTAGATGCAAGGCCATGCATAAATGTAGGGTCTGTCACCATCCCTGCGGTCTGGCAGCGTGTAAGAAAGTGGGAACTGTAAGCCTCTGGTGAATGATTTTAGAGGCTGAGCTGCACATTTGTAGTGGGAGTTGTAAAACAACATCCACAGAGAACCTAAGTGCTCTGCCACAGGTTACTTTCTCTCTCTCCCTGACAGGATGTCTGAAGACCTCAGCAGCAGCGTGACTGTGTGTGAGTAGTGGGGCATGGCCCTGTCCTATGGGGTGCTGGGTAGCGTGGAGGCAGGCAGGGGCGGTCAGAACTTTTGTGGTCATACCATCTCTCTCTGCAGCTGTGACAAGCAGTACCATTTCTTCAAATGTGGCATCCAAGGCTGGCTTTGGCAGCCATGGTTCTGGAGGTAGAGGGTTCGGTTCCGGAGGAGGAGGAGGATACAGCTCTGGAAGTGGCAGTTACAGCTCTGGCCCAAGGCTGGCTTTGGCAGCCATGGTTCTGGAGGTAGAGGGTTCGGTTCCGGAGGAGGAGGATACAGCTCTGGAAGTGGCAGTTACAGCTCTGGCGGCAGAGCATCTGGCTCTGGAGGCGGTGGCGGAGGAGGCTATGGCTCTGGCGGTGGTTCCAGAGGAGGCTCTGGCTCCGGAGGAGGCTACGGCTCCAGCGGTGGTTCTGGAGGAAGACACGGCTCTGGACGTGGCTCTAGAGGAAGCTCTGGTTCTGGAGGAGGATATGGCTCTGGTGGTGGCTCTAGAGGAGGCTCCAGCTCTGGTGGAGGATATGGCTCTGGAAGTGGCTCTGGAGGAGGCTTCAGCTCTGGAGGTGGCTCCAAAAGAGGCTCTGGCTCTGGAGGGCGAGTTTCTATCTCTGAAAGGGGTGGTTCTGGCTCAGGTGAAGGTTATGGTTCTGGCGTGACCTTCTCTCATATATAAAGATGGATTCCCCCTCCCCCAACTCTCCCACTCCAGAATGTGCTTGTCTTTTACCTCCGACAGCAAGTCAAGTTTTGTCATCTACCTCGGTTGGTATTTTGGGGGAAAGGGATGCCCACACACAGTTTTTGAGAGATCTTTCCAACCCAATTAGAGCCAGTGACACTCACTGTTTTCTGGAGAAGAATCTGCATTCTAGGCTTGTGCTTCTGGCCATGTCACATCCCCATCCCCCTGTGCCCTCTTGTGTTGCCCACTTGGCAGTCTTTTCCCAGATGGGTATTCTGTTGAGGACCCCAGAGTAGCTGGCTGATTCCATCTCGAAGCCTGTGCCTTTCCTGGGGCAGTGCCAGGGGGATGTGCTGCTGTGTAAATAGCTCCTCTCGACTCTGCTCTCAGAAGCACTGTGGTCCGGTGTCTGCACAATAAACTTCATTTGCAACTCATATCATGTGACGTCTATTTAATGACAAGCCTTGGCTGAAGTGGGCAGCGTAGAAACAGGAGACTAGGAAATGATAAAAGAGGGGCTCTTGGACGAGGGGCACGTCATCCTGAGGGAGGTGTGGCTTGGAAGAGCCCAGGGTGTTTTCCTCTGGAGTCAGGGGACAGGTATAATGTTCTCAGAAAGTGTTTGCCAGACTTGGGGGCTGTGGTATTGCCAGGAGGTACACATGGAGATTTGTGGAAAATTCTGTTTTCTAGAAAAAACCACTTTCCTTGAGAAGTATTTTCCCACAGTCTGCCCTTCCCCTTTTCTGACAGGAGCTTTGATCTGATGTCATTTGATTGATCTGACCTCGGGGCAAACCAGCTGAGCTTCCCAAGTGCCCACCCAGGCTGTCTGCAGCTCTCAGCTTGCACGGCAGAATTCCCTCAGCCCAATCGACACAGGCCATGGTTTCTCCACGTCCCTGCAGTCATACTGAGGGAGAAGACCTGGGGAACGTCTGGAGGATCATAAAATGGTCTCCAAAATAACTGACTTCCATTTTCACAGAACATCCTTCTGCTGTCAGAGAAGTCCCATTACACTCAGAAAACAAAGAACCCTTTTTTCCTTCCCTAGTCCAGCAGCCCTCTGGATCCCCTACTCATGATGTCCCAGGAATGATAGCCTTCTCCGGTGGGTGTGAAGATGATTTCAGCCTCTCCCCACAAAAGGCCTTCTCACCTGGATGGGGCTTCCAGGGAGTTCAGGAATGGTTGGGGAGATGGGTCTGGGCCCTTGGGGTTGGTATTAGATTGGCCAGAGTTGCCCAAAAGGGAATTGGTAGCTTAGGTTGGATCAGGTTAAAGATCATGAATGTGGTCTTCAGACAGAGTTGATGTGGCTTAAAACAACTCAGAAAAATATTCCAGAGGATCCTTTTTTCTGTTACCCCAGTCCAGCTTTAAACCTTGGGAGTGACTCGGCTGAGTTTGTGACCCTTCTCCTGTCCCCAGAGGTTGCAGGGAGAGCTTTGAGATATGCAGGAGGAGGCACCAACATAGAACAGATGCCTTCACCTGCTCAGACCTGCAGGCTGGAGGTTCTGGGGGACTGGGCTGGAGGAGCTCTGCAGGCTGCAGGTGGCAGGGCAATGACACTGAGGCTGAGAATCCTAGGGTGATCTGCTGCTCAGAGAGGTGTACTGAGAATGGCCCAGGCCAGGGCAGCTGTGACAGGGCTGTGGAGGTGAGAGTGCAGGCTGGGCAGGAGAAGCCCGGGGGCTTGGCTCTTTTGGGGTGTGCACACCGTGTACACACAAACATGACCTCAAACAGGGATGAGTGACCCAGATATTTGGGGCTGGAAGGGAGCATTAACAGTCAGTGAATTTGAACTTTCCATTTAGGTAAGGAAACAAGTAAGGCCCAGGTCGTAGAAACCAGGCCTTCACCTCCCAGTTCATGCACTGTTTAAAGGCTACAGAAATGGCGAGCCATCCTAATAACTCTCTGAAGGAAAAGAGGTGAGGTCGGTTAGGTGGCAGCTTCTATTCCCACTGCTTTAATTACTGAGACTTTAATTCCTGAGCCCCTACCCCACCTGAGACACAGCCCTTCTTTTTTTTGGAGCCACTCAGACACATGCTACTCTCATGTTGCATTCCAACAGCAAAATTAGTCTTGTACATTAACTCAGATTTCCCCCGTAAGTGTTGTAGAATAGTCCAGAATTTGGGTCACACCCCTCTCACCAGGGTCCTCTCCCCACTTTCACCAAATTTGGTGATTAACTTGTCAGGTCCTGGGCTGGCAAAGGAGATAGGTACAGGCAGAAGGGTTTTTCAAACTCTATTTCCATAGGGAACTGGGCTATACATATTTACATTCTGGTAATGTTGCTGAGTATCTGGAACACCGTTTGTTTTTATGGTTCCCTCCCTTTCTCCTCCTGTGAGGTCTACTATGAATTCAAATAAACTTTTTTTCTGTCTTTACCAACCCTTTCTTTCCTGCCAACTCAAGTGAGAGTCATTGCACAGCTCACATCCTGCAGGAAGCCCACCTAAGTGGAACACTCATGCTTCCCTTACTTCCTGTGAATTGGGAAGGCCTTGCCCTGGGAGTGAGGAGACTTAAATGCCATGCCTCATCTTTGGGAACATTGTTGTGTGACATTGGGCAAGTCATTTCTCCTCCCGAGGCTTGGTTTCTGCATCAGCTGAAGGAGGTGGAACTAGATTGTCTCTACAGATTCTTCCAGCTCCGATGAAAAGAATACTTTCTGTGCTACTGGGTCAGCCAGTGCTTATTCCTAAAGCCTCCAAGCCTAGTGGGGAATTTGGGACAGAGTCTGGAAAGAGGCTTAGAGAACCTGTGTGTGGATCGGTGTGAGCATTGGGAGTTCTTAATTATTTTTATTCTAGTTCGGTAAATGTCTGTTGGACAATGACTGTGGGCAAGGTGCTGCATTCGGCTATGTGGGGGATACCAAGACTCACAAAACAGTGCATCCTGCATGGAGTTTAAAGTCTATTTGGGGGATGGATGAGAAATTTCACAAACAGCTATTAATATAAGGCTACTCTGGGAATAGTGGCGTGTATTAAAATTGTCTGGAGCTCTTATTAAGAATGCATGTTCTTGGTTCCAGGCTCCCAGAGTTTTCACTATGGAGGATTGGGGTGGAGCCTGGAAATCTGCATTTTAATGAGCTCCTAGGTGATTCTGATGCGGCTGATGCAAGAGCTGTGCTTTGAGAAGAACCAATATGCATACAGGGGCTAAGTAAGCAGGCTCTGTGGGGGGTTCAATTGCTGGCATCTTGGAATTTAGTAGGCAATCAATAAAAAAATCAATCAGATGAAAGAATGTGATGTTGAACAAGTTATTCAGCAACTGTGAGTTTTGGTTTACCCATTCGTAAAGAGGTAATAACAATATCTCCCTCATAGGGTTGTTAGGAAGGTTATGTGCAATAATAAATGATAAACATTTATTCAGTAGGACCTGTGCTATCATAATCATACAGTATAACGGTTATTATTATTATTATTATTATTAAAGTTATAGACAGTATTGTGGGATTGGGGAAGGCTTCATGGATGAGATGACTTTCCCTCCAAACACTGAAGGATATGTGGGATTAATTAAGAAATAATAGCAATTCTACAGAAACTCTTCTAGAAAATAGAAGAGGAAGGAACACCTTCCATCTTGTTTCATGAGGCCAGCATCGCCCTGATACTGAAATCACACAAATGCATTATAAAGAGAGAAACGAAAGACCAATATCCCTCATGAGCTTCAAAAATTTTCAACAGTATACGAGCAAATTTAATCTAGAAATATATGAAAAGGATAATACATCGTGACCATGTGAGGTTTATCCTAGAAATAAAAGGCTTGTTCAGAATTCAAAGAATTCATTAATGTATTCACCATATCGACATATTACAGAAGAAAAAGCATATGACTATGTCAACAGATGCAAAAATTTTGACAACATTTAGCATCCATGATATCGACATATTACAGAAGAAAAAGCATATGACTATGTCAACAGATGCAAAAATTTTGACATTTAGCATCCATTTATTATAAAAACAAACAACAAAAAAATCCTCTTAAAAAACTAGAAATGCAAGGGAACTTCCTTAGTCTGATAAAGGACATCTACAAAAACCCACAGCTAACATCCTTAAAGGTCAAAGTCGTAATTCTTTTCCAAGTAAGGATATCTGCTGCCACTACTCCTATTCGGCATCAGACTGGGATTCCTAAATAGTGCAATAATGCAAGAAAAAGAAATAAAAACATACAGATAGGAAGGAGGAAATAAAACTGATTTTATTCATATATGATGTGTTTGTCTATGTAGGAAATCTCCAAGTACCTTGCTAGTCAACGTATTTTCACATTGAGAAAGTCATTATTTATTTATTATTATTATTATTTTTTGGCAGGCTGGTTGGTATGAGGAACCAAACCGTTGACCTTAGTGTTACAAGGCTACACTCTAACCAACTATGCTAACTGGCCAGGCTTCTTTATTTATTAATTATTATTTTTTGAGAAAATCTTGATCATTCAGATAGATGGATGCAATAGTAACGATATTTGGTTATGTTTCATTGAGAGACACATGGCAGGAGAAGCTTTAGTTCAAAATTTGCAGAAAGATGAGTTAATTCAATGGGTAGTTGAACTGCAGTGAATTAAAATTTACCACAGATCAGATTTGAATGTGCATACTGTTTATTTTAAATTCAGCTTTAATGAAGATTAATTTATAAACAATAAAATGCATTGTATTGCATTTTAAGCATATACATCAATTTTTTAAAACAAATGTATATACTCTTGTAATTACTACCACATAACTATATAGAACATTTCCACCACTCCAAAAAGTGAGTACCCTATGCCTCAGGCAACTTTTGATCTACTTCTTGTCACTGTAGATTGGTTTTGCCCTTTCTAGGATTTCTTTGAAATGGATATATGGTTTTACATTTCCACGAGCAATGTATAAGAGTTCCAGTTGCTCCATATCCTCTCCAACACTGGGTATCGTCAGTCTTTCATTCTAGTGGGTGTGTATGCTATCTCATGGTAGTTTTCATAGCATTTTCCTGATGACTTATGTTCAGCATCTTTTTTTGTGCTTTTTTGGATATTTTTTCATCTTTTGGGAAGGGTCTGTTAAAATCTTGTGCAGATTTTTGTTGGGTGTTTTGAAATCTTATTATTGAGTTGCAAGAGTTCCTTATATATTCTGGGTAACAGTTGTTTGTCAGATATATGTATTGTGAATATTTTCTCTCTCTTTTAATAAATTTTTTGGCAGCTGGCTGGTATGGAGATCCGAACCCTTGACCTTGCTGTTGTAAGACTGTGCTCTAAATACTGAGATAACCAGCCAGCTTGTATTGTGA